ATGAAGTATTTTATCGCTCTTGATTGTATCTATAACAAGTAGATCTTTAATCCTTATTTTCCCAGTCAGGAATTGCATACCGCCAGCTTAAATCCTGAATCGCCGATTTAAATCCTCATAAATTCTTAGCTTTGAATCGGCGATTCAAGATTTGAACCGGCGGCATAGGAAGTTCAGCAACCTAGATCAAATTATTTGAATTCGGTTAATGGATTCACATTTGGTATATAAAAAATAATACTAATTAAATAACAAAAAACAGGATTAAATTCTTCTTATTAGTTATTTTTAAAACGTTTTAAGTTCAATACTTTTCAAATATTATAGGGATAGTCAAATGGGTATTAAACTTTGCGCAGAGAAATTTTAATTTTACAGAAATATTTTCTTTTAAATGACAATCTTAGATTGATCTCAATTGGGACATTTTTGAGCTGACAACCTACTCTACTAATATGTATATTGTTGTTGTAGTGTTCTATTTGGACAAACATTAGAGAATATTACAGAACCTTAACAGTGCTCTATTTGGACAAACATTAGAGAATATTACAGAACAATAACAGTGCTCTATTTGGACAAACATTTAAGAACATTACAGAACCTTAATAGTACTCTATTTGGACAAACATTAGAGAATATTACAGAACATAAACAGTGCTCTATTTGGACAAACATTAGAGAATATTACAGAACATAAACAGTGCTCTATTTGGACAAACATTAGAGAATATTACAGAACATAAACAGTGTCTCTATTTGGACAAACATTAGAGAATATTACAGAACATAAACAGTGCTCTATTTGGACAAACATTAGAGAATATTACAGAACATAAACAGTGTTCTATTTGGACAAACATTAAAGAACATTACAGATTCTAAACAGTGTTCTATTTGGACAAACATTAGGGAACATTACAGAACCTAAACAGTGTTCTATTTGGACAAACATTAGAGAACATTACAGAACCTAAACAGTGTTCTATTTGGACAAACATTAGAGAACATTAGAGAATCTAAACAGTGTTCTATCAAACATTAGAGAACATTATAGAACCTTAACACTGTTCTATTTGGACAAACATTAGAGAACATTACAGAACTGATGTGTTATTCATAAAAAGTAAAAATTAAATTAGATTTTGGAAAATGAGATAATTTCTGAAAACCATATCTTTATAGTAATACGTAAAATATTCAGATCACGAATTAAACAAAATACAAATGGTATTTTTCAAACATTTTTTCAAAGATTTGCAGAGGCAAATTTTTAAAATAATTTTGGGCAACACATATTTGAAAATTTAGAAATGCAAAGAAATAAACAAGAATTAAATATATATTATATATACAGGGTGTCCCACGAAACATGACAAAAGGAAGACGACTTGAAAGTCGTCTTTGGTATTTGAATTTATTTGTGACATTTAGTCTTCTATCTACTTTAACATGTATGATTCTTGAAACAATTATCACATAATTCTCCTAGCCCTGGCATTTCCAAAAAGTGGTCTGCATTTTTTGTGCTTTCAATATTACCTGAGATATAAAGAGTTTGGTTCAGATTTCAATTTTGTTAAATAAAAGCAAAATTGTCGAAATCTGAACGAAATTCTTCATATCTCGGGCAATATTGAAAGCACAAAAAAAGGCAGACCACATTTTGGAAATGGCAGGACGTACAAGGGAAATTTTGTGATTATTATCTCTAGAAATTCACTTCTAAAATTAGGTTGACAAATAAACGCAGCAAATTATATCAAAAATCAAGACGACATTCAAGTCGTCCTGCATACTGTCATGTTTCGTGGGACACCCTGTATGTACGGTGGTATAGGCGATTACATCAATACAATGAAGACGACATTCGACTTATTGATTTTGATATATATTATCTTTTAACAGCATGGGTACACAAAAAATGGAAACAAAGAAAAGCTGCCAATTAAATAAGCTTCTCATTAAAGGGACTGACCGGCTATGTAAGGTAGTTGAACTGAGTATACAGTGTTGTGGAAAGCTTCTTTCGGATTCATTTGAGACATATTAAACTTTTTAAAGATCTGTAAATCCTGAGTTTGAGCGCAAATTCGATGTTCAAAACTCCTACTTTGGAGGTGGATACGTTTTCAGAATTAGTTTTTTTTTAATTATTAAATAGCGACGACATAAAATGTAAAAAAGTTCTACAATAAACTACATACGTCATGTATAGGAACATGTTAAGAAAATAAAAATCAATCTTATCATCGAAAAATAGGTAATCTTGTTCAATTATTAGTTTCTATTATCTCATTATTCTGGTTTCTCCTTATTCACAAAGATTTGCGCAGGTTTTCTAGAATTATTATTGAAAAGACGACATTTGAAGACTTTGAAGAAATCTGCGAAAAAATTCAAAGAAAACTAGAAATTCAATATAATAAAGAAAACGAAATAATCGATTTTAGCATTGAATTATTGACAAATTTCTTTTAAGAAATATGTTCCTAAGCATCTAATTAGATTACTGTATAATTTTTACTTTTATTTTTTGTTGTCGTTATTTAATAATTTAAAAAACTAATTCTGAAAACGTATCCACCCACAAAGTAGGAGTTTTGAACGTCGAATTTGCGCTCAAACTCAGGATTTACAGATCTTAAGTTTAATATGTCTCAAATGAATCCGAAAGAAGTTTTCCACAACACTGTATACTCAGTTCAACTACCTTACATAGCCGGTCACTCCCTTTAATGAGAAGCTTTTAATTGACAGCTTGACATCGTCTTACATTTTTGATACAATTAGTTACATTTATTTGTCAATTTAATTTTAGAAATAAAATTCTAGATAATAATTAAAAAATACTCCCAGTCCTGGCATTTCCAAATTGTGGTCTGTTTTCAATACTACCAGAGATATGAAGAATTTTATTTAGATTTCGTGTTTTAACAAATTGAAAAGCTGAACGAAATAATAACTCCGGTAATCAGTACAAAAAAAGTTGACCACATTTTGGAAATACCAGGAGTAGAGAATTTTGTGATTCAAGAATTATATATGTTAAAATAGGTTTACGAATTAATGTCAGAAATAAATTCCAGGGTCAAAGACGACTTTCAAGTTTACCTCTACAGGGTTACCCACAAAGGATGAGACTTCAGAGACGATTGTACGGAATTAGTATAGTTCGTTATCTTGCATTCAGGGATCCTTTTAGGCCAAAATTGACTTATTTTTGTACTTAATCATTTTGTATACCATCAAAATAATCAATTGAATGCAGAAACCAAAAATCTTAAAAAGCTTCAAATCGTCATATTTTTAGAATTTTAGGTTTTCATTACAGTCTCATCCGTTGTGGGCAACCCTGTACTAGCTGTTCTTCTCTATTGTTTCTGTATATAATATGTTTTATATAGATCTGATCCGGTTTAAGTGCTTGAAAGGATTTTATAAGAAAGGAAATCCATCCAATATGAATTGGGTTTAAAGGATACACTTTCATAGAGCAACAGGGGTAAATAATAGAAGCACATACAAAACATATCAGGAAACATATCAAAACAAAACCTATCAAATCAAAGCATAACAAAACCGAACTTTTACATATCCAACTAATCATACAGGGTGTCCCAATAAACATGGGAATTCAGTGACGAATTCGATATCGTCTTTGTTATGAATTAGCATTGTAATACCCGATTTCAAAAACATAATATTATTATGTCTGCTAGAGTTTATTTTATGAAAACGGTGAATGGTTGTAATGTCTACAATGTCTTTGCAAGATGAACAGTGAAGACGGACAAGTTTACTCTGTTCGTATACCATAATTTTCTTGTTTCACTAAGTACAACCGTATGCAGTCAATACATAAACAAACAAATTCTAAACATAGCAGACGAAAATCTTTCGGACTACAGCTTTCTCAGTAGGTATCACTATACTAAATCAAAGAATTATATGAAAAGACGATATCGAATTCGTCACTGAATTCCCGTGTTTATTGGGACACTCTGTATCAAAGCAAAACATATAAAAAACAAAACATAAAAACCAAACATATTGAATCGTAATAAATTTTCACTTTTAAATAAAAATTAAACATTTCATAAGATTTATTCGAGTTAAAAAAAATTTGAGACTAACTTTTCGTCTTATGCGTGAAGAGCAAAATCCGGGATATTCAATAAAATCTCAAAAATCAATTACATCAAGACAGTGAAAGTGAAAAATGTCATGTTCCCTCTCAAAAGAAAAATAATTTTTTTTGATTTATTTTGCATTGAATGTTTTGTATTTATTTTTTTCTGTAATTGTATTAGAAATTTATTGTTAAATACGTTTTGTATTTGATGTTTTGTACTTTGATATGTTTTGTCAGAGATATGTTCCGTAATGATATGTTTTGTCGGAGATATGTTCCGTCGGAGATATGTTCCGTGATAGTATGTTTTGTCGGAGATATGTTCCGTGATGATTTGTTTTGTGATGATATGTTTTGTCGGAAATATGTTCCGTAATGATTTGTTTTGTGATATGTTTCGTGATGATATGTTTTGTCGGGGATATGTTCCGTGATGATTTGTTTTATCGGATATATGTTACGTGATGATATGTTTTATCGGAGGTATGTTCCGTGATGGTATGTTTTGTCGGAGATATGTTCCGTGATGATTTGTTATGCGAGGATATGTTTTGTCGGAGATAATACAATTGGCAATTCATAAACATCCTTATCTTAGTAAAGATGATAAAATGTTTTAGTTTTCTAAACAGCTAGACATTTATTTCAATATTTCGTACTTTTTGTTGCTCATCTATCTGCAAGCCTTACTTCTTTGTACAGGATAATGTTCTTAATGCCCAGACATCTTCAAAGTTATGGAATATAAATATTTCTTTAGTTCCCTATCATTTTAGCAGTATTTTTTATATAGATTATTTTTTCTTCCTTTATAACTCGTAATAACGCCAGTAGATTCTATGGGGTCAACAATATCGAAAATAAGTCAAATAAAAAAAATTTATTGATTAAAAAAACTGATGATTAACTACAGGATTATGACAGGTTTAGTTACAACAGTTGTGGAGAATTTATAAATTTCTCCGTTCAGGTTGAAGTCCTGATTCCATGGATTCTCCGGTAGCTCCGGCCATGTGGCCGACACCCAGGATTCAATTCTTCGGGATATATCCGGGTTGGATAAACAACTGACCGGAACGGAGAATGATATTGGAGTAAAGCCTCGGGATTTAACTGAGTAAACGCATAAAGGTTGATTGCTTAGGCAGTTTGAATCCTAGAATGAATAAGTTTTTAAAATAATCTATATTTGTAGCCAAAATCTAAGTGATTTAGACAACAAATTTACGTATTAGTATTTTGAAAATCACAAACAGAAGAGGTTTGATTGATTGATTGATTATCGTTTATTTCTTAATGCCTTATTACTGGCAGAAGGGGTTTAAAGACATACTTATGTGATGAAACCGTCTCTGTAAATGATTTAACCCCTTCTGCAATATCAACTGCTAGATTCTTCTAACCGTACAATAATCACAAAAATCAAATTACACATCAATATTCTTTGTATATCTGTATTCTGTATCCTATACCATGGAAATAAATAGAAAGAGGAGTACAACTCCCCTCCCTCCCACAAAAATAACATTAAAAAAAAGTTTTCTAAAACATAATTATAAAATAATATACCTGTTCCTGTGAATACCAGTAGACTACTGGGAAACCTAGAAGAACCCCGAATAGAGTTGAAAGGTTCCAGGACTCTGTATTCTCCAGGTATATGAGAGAGTTCTCACTTTTCTCCAGGTTGAGTAGAACCTGCTCCACTGATGAGTTTATCTGTGTAACTATAGTACTGCTGCACAATAATGGAGAAGGATTGGAAGAACTAATATCGATATAAACAGAGGTATTCTCTGTAAGGAGACGGTGTAGATGAGAAACAAGAATGGGTTTGTTAAAAACAAAATAATCCAAATCAAGTTTTAATATACAGGCCCCGTCTCCGACTGTGTTTAAGCAGGCCTTGTCTAATCCAGTGTTCTCAAACCTACAGAAGTCCATGAGTAAACTTGGTTTTCTCCGGGTACATAACATGTATAGGTTCAGAGATATCTCACAACACTTCACATCTTTTAATTTTCTCATTTGTTCTTTTACAATGGCCTTGATATTAATGAAGGTCGACATTGTCTGTTTTTTCTAATAAAAACGGTTTAAGATTTTCAATACTTTGCAAGAATTGTCCGTAGGATTCGTCAGGAATAGCAATTCTGTAAACTTTTCCTTCTTTACTCTTCTCAAGAAGATACGTATACTTTCCAAAGGAATTTTCCTCTCTGAAATAAAAGAAGTTTAGATAGTTTTCTTCAACTCTATTTCTTTTAAATTTAAGTTCAAAGCAAGGAAAAATATTATGAGATAGAATTATCAAGAAGATGTAAACCATGAAAAATTTTATTATCAGAACGTTAACGATGTTTATACCAGATCGTTCTAGTAATGTTTGTACCAGATCGTTTTCCAAAATATGTACCAGAAATTTTTGTACAATATCGATAACAAACTTGTGTACTGTGTACCATTGTGTAATTAAAGAAAAAATCCGTCCATCTGAATTTTTTAAATATTTAACTAATTAAACTAGAATTTAGCATTTCAAATACAGGTGGTTAAAAACATAATCCAATTTAGTCCTATCTCAAAAATATCTTTACTGCATTCTTTACCTATTCAGAGTATAATCTTTATCCTTCCCCTGCACTTCTCCTTCCTTGTTAGATGATATCAGTTCTAGAACCTTCTCAGTATCTTCAGCTGATATTTGTACAGTAAATCGTTTACCCTGGAAGAGAAATAGGAAACAGTTATACAGGAATAATCGAAATAAAATAATCTGTAACTTTTAAAACTGGCAATTCGATAAAAAATAAAGAATAACCCTAAAGAAAAAAATTGTACATAACGTTCATCATAATTTATTTATCCCTTTATTCCCTTTATTCCAAGTTGGAAAACTTGATATGGAAAAAAAAATGGAGTGTGATATTTTTTTACTGAAATACTATTTTTTTTTGGTAGACAAGGGGGAATATTTCTATATATATCAGAATTGTATTTATTGTGTGTTTAATTTGTAATAATTATTTAAATTCTGTTTGTTAACGAAATATAATAAAATGAATATATTAATAACGAAAATTACCTTCGCTAATTCAGATATTTTCAAATATCTTCCTGAGGTTTCGTTGAGCTTAATATCCACAAAAAACTTCTTGTTAACGGTTGAGAATGTTTCCGACCTGATTTCTTTGTCGTAATAAAACACAGGACTGGAGCTAAACTGAGAGATCTGGAGTCTACGGACAACTTGGGAGAAGGGTCTGAGTTGGAATAGGAAAGACATAATCTGAAATTAATAATATTCTTGCATAGATATAAATATAAAGTTTAGGTACAAGTTAGTCTATAGTCACAGAGATATAATCCCAAATCTTATTCTTCTCCATCCTCGAACGCAATGACGTTAACTCCGCCTCCATCCTCCTCGTCTTCGTCACCGTGCTCCTCATCAAACTCTCCCTCGTCGACATGAACCGGTTCTCTCCAGTTTAGATCAGATATCTTGATATCTACCGTCTGGTTGAATTCTGGTTTAGGTTTGTTAAATGATGAAAGACGAGCGGCAGCTTGACGTAAACTTGCTTCTCTGTGCCGAGCAACATACTCCTTCTGAACCGCCATACTCTCCTAAAATTAAATATTTTAAATCCTCAACATTTTAGCTTCCAGGATCCGGAACAAAGAGGAAAACTTGCAACAAGAAACTGTTAATTGTTCGTTTTCAAATGTTAAAACAACAAATATTAGACGACGAGGAATTATTTGAACCTTTCAAACTTTAGATTTGATTAGCAAAAGAAACTTTTAAAATGGAATGTAAATCTGTACATTTTTTTTTATTTTATCTCATGAAGAATTTAAGAAATTAAGAATCTACGAATCTACGAATCTACGAATCTACGAATCTACGAATCAACGAATCAACGAATCAACGAATCAACGAATCAACGAATCAACGAATCAACGAATCAACGAATCAACGAATTAACGAATTTAAGTATTTAAGTATTTAAGAAGAATTTAAGAAATTAAGAAATTAAGAAGTTAAGAAATTAAGAAATTAAGAAATTAAGAAAATAAGAATTCAAAAATTTTAGAATTTAAAAATTTAAGAATTTGCGAATTTAAGAATTTGCGAATTTAAGCTAGTGTAGTTCTTTAATTCTAAAGCCTAAATTCTAAAACTATCCAGTAAATTTTGATTTTTAAACGAAAAAAGTCTGCTATTGTTTTATATAAAATCTTGAATATAAATACAGTACCGAACAAAATCCATTATAATTCTTTATCTATTTGTTGTCAAATAATGGGTTGCTTCCGCTGCGCAAAACTTTCAATGTTTCTACCACGAAATACAAAATAAAACGTAACATTAAAAATAAGTTTATTCATTTAATTTGATATTAAAGGGATTGTTGACCAATTTTAAACAAATCTCGAATTAAAGCATTTAGTCCTTAATCGAAGATATCATGGTTTTTCTGTCTTGTAATAATTTAAATTCTCTCAATTTCATTTAATTGAAAATTATCAATTTTAGGAAAAAACAGAAAAACTTAATCGGTACCGTTGTGAATCAGGTATGCAAAACTTCAAATGAAAGTTGACTAAAATTACGCTGTAAGTCCGTTTACCTGTAGAGATAGCTGTTTAGTTGCGCATTCGTAAACTCGAGGAAGAGGAATACAAGGAGTTTTTACAACAGGAGATATTTTCTTCGTTATTGCAGGAGCAGCAGGAACAGTCAGGTGAGTTGAGGCATCCTTCGACTTGGCACAAGAGAAAGGGGCGAACCTGGCCGGAGATTTAAAATGGTCAAGGTTGGAAACTTTGTTTGTTTGATAATTATCAACATCTTCCGTTTCTGTTGCTTTGGAGGGAAGCTCACGCTCTGCTAGAACCCGCAGAGTTTCCTCGGTTTCCTAAATATTTAATTTTTATCTATAATGTTAAAATCTCCTATTCTCATTTAACAAACTTTACCGTTAATAAATCCATCTTCCTTCTATATATATACTTAGCTTGTCTGTTTGTTTGTTTGTAACCGATAAACGTCTAAACGACTGAACAGATCGGGTCAAAATTTTGTTAAAAGCTAAAAGCTAAAATTACTTACAAAAATGGGGGCACGAAGCGCACTAAAAGCCTAGTAGTCAATATGTGAATTAGATTATTACTGTAATCCTTATCTGATGTCGTAAATTGTCAATTATCGTGTATTCATTGTTAAATGTCGTTTATTAATTGTTAGTGTTTATTAATTGTTAAATGTCGTTTATAAATTGTTAAATGACGTTTATTAATTGTTAAATGTCGTTTATAAATCGTTAAATGTCGTTTATTCCTTGTCAAACGTCTTTCATTTCTCGTCCTATGTCGTATTTTTCTAAGCAAATGTCATATATTCATTGTCAAATGTCGAATATTTCTTGTCAGAGGTAGTACAATCCTTGTAAAATGTAATTTTTTTCTTGCCAAATATCGTTTAATCCTTGCCTAATGTCGTGAATTCCTTGAAAAATGTCATGTATTTTCTTGTCAATGTCGTGCATTCCTTGTTAAATGTCGTGAATTCCTGGCTTAAAGTAATTTATTTCTTGTCAAATGTCGTATAATACTTATCTTAAGTTCTATTATAATTTGTCTAGTCAAATGTCGTTTACTCCTTGACTTGAAGACGTGAATTCCTTTCCAAATTTCGTAAATTCCTTTCCAAATATCGTATATTCCTTGTCATATGTCGTGTATAAGTTCTAAACCTGGTTTTTATTAAACTGAGCTCCTGGTTTCCCTCCATCTCCCCACTCCAGAGCTTCAGTATCCGGTAGATTAAGCCTAGCCATGGCCCTGGAGAGCATCAACTCCTCGTTCTTCTCCTCAACCAGCTCCTTCAATACGGCCAGCTTCTCCACAGCCTTAGCTCCTCTACAACAAGGAGATTATTAAAACCGAGTAGGGTGTACCTCAGTAAAGGATATTAAATGTTTAAAGGGTATAGTTGTGAAAAAAAGAAACTACAACGGGAAAAACTTGACAACAAAAGAAACTAGCAGATAACGTTTATGAAAAAAAGTAAGACTAACATAATTCCAGTCTGTTACAGAGCACGAAGTGGGTGGGCAATATTAATACAAAGAAAACTTATCAATTAAAAAGATCTTTACAAGTTTTTATAATTATATGGCTTTCAATTTCACAAGGACATTGCCCCTTGAAGAAGTTCAGGAAAGAACCAGAATGCCAAAATATTTTTTTTTCATCGACACTGTTAAATCAAGAACTACCTTGTGCTCATGTTGGTATAAAAATAAGATTAACTAACTTGTCTGGTAGTTTATTAAGCAGAGCTGAGTTCTCCACCAGCTTCTGCTGCCTGTCTAGCATCTCCTGTAGTTCAACAACCGTCTTGCTCTTCATCTACAAATATCAAGGTTACAAGTAGGTCAGGATAATTCAACTGAAGTTTAATTAATGTAGTTGAACTTAGAATAAACTTGAGCAGTTGAACTACATTTACGTACTTCCACTACTTCTTACTAGTCTTTAAATCTAAGTCCTCGTATGCAAGATCTAAATTCAGATCCTGGGATGTAAGAGCAGGCCAAATTTGGATTTATTTTTCAAGTGTTCAGAAAAAGAAAAACTCTCTTCATCAAATTGTCTCTTAACAAAATAAGAATTGATAAAAATGACAGGATAAACGTTTAACAATTCTTTCGGTATAAAATTGGTTTTGTTTTAGTGATTAATTTTCAAATGAGGTATACCTGACTTTTTAAGGCAGACAACTCGTGAGACATCTTTCCTACAGCAGTAAGGCTTCCAGGAACCTTTAAATTATGTTATATTATGACACGAAGCACTCTTCACTAAACCCCACTATTTATTCGTTCAGTGTACTGCAGATCACTGCAATACGCACCGAAAGGTTAGCTTAGGGTGAAAGAGAAGTACATATTTCAAATACAGGATGGAACAAATCATAAAAGATCATTCATTATGGTAATAAATTAGGGTTCATGCATAAAACACAGAACTCTCTTTTTTACGTATTTTCAGGGTGGCCAAAACTTTTTTGAAAAAATCCGTACAATCCGAACAATTTTCGAAAAAAATCCGTACAATCCGTACAATTTTCGAAAAAAAAATCCGTACAATCCGTTCATTTTTTTGAAAAAATCCGTACATTTTTTAAACAATCCGTACAATCAGTACAATTTTCGAAAAAAAATCCCTGCAATCCGTACATTTAAGAAAAATAATAAGCCTAATTAATCTGGCAGAATTCACAGCTTATAATAACACAAGTCTACCACATAAGGTTGCAAAGATATATTACTTAAACATTTCTATTAAACACTAGAGTGCTGGAGAACTAGAGAACTTGAGAACTTGAGAACAAGAGAACTAGAGAACTAGAGAACAAGAGAACAAGAGAACTAGAGAACAAGAGAACTTAGAACTAGAGAACTAGAAAACTAGAGAACCAGAGAACCAGAGAACCAGAGAACCAGAGAACCAGAGAACTAGAGAACCAGAGAACTAGATAATAGAGAACTAGAGAACTAGAGAACTAGAGAACTAGAGAACTAGATAACTAGATAACTAGATAACTAGATAACTAGATAACTAGATAACTAGATAACTAGATAACTAGATAACTAGATGACTAGATAACTAGATAACTAGATAACTAGATAACTAGATAACTAGATAACTAGATAACTAGATAACTAGAGAACTAGAGAACTGGAGAACTAGAGAACTAGAGAACTAGAGAACTAGAGAACTAGAGATCTAGAGATCTCGAGAGCCAGAGAGCAAGAGAACCAGAGAACCAGAGAACTAGAGAACCAGAGAATTAGAGAACTAGAGAACTAGAGAACTAGATAATAGAGAACTAGAGAACTAGAGAACTAGAGAACCATAGAACAAAAGAACCAGAGAACCAGAGAACTAGAGAACTAGAGAAACAGAGACCTAGAGAACCAGAGAACCAAAGGACCACAGAACCAGAGAAGCAGAGAACCAGAGAACAAGAGAACTAAAGAGCGTTGATTCTAATTTTTAAAACTGTTTAGATCAGTGTGAATTAGGCCATTTAATAAACAAACGATTAAGTTATAATTAGAAAGAGTGGAGTGTAGATTTAGGATCTAATATAATTAAAGTTAGCGTAGTACAGGGGTTGCACACTCAATTAATATTAAACTAAAAATGAAAAGATTTACAGATAAACGGAAGAAACCTGAGTGCATGTTCTCAGATCTGATAAAGAGACAGATAGATAGATAGATAGATAAACAGATAGATAGACAGAGAAACAGATAGACACATACACATATAGATAAACAGAGAGACAGATAGGATATATTAACAGATAGATAAAAAGATAGATAAACTGACATGCAGATAGATATACAGATGGATAGACAGATAGCTTGACATATAGCTAGAAATATGGCTAGACATATAGCTAGACAGATAGCTAGACAGATAGCTAGACATATAGCTAGACATATGGCTAGACATATAGCTAGACAGTTAGCTAGACAGTTAGCTAGACAGATAGATAGACAGATAGCTAGACAGTTAGCTAGACAGTTAGCTAGACAGATAGCTAGACAGATAGCTAGACAGATAAACATATTCTCAAATGAACACTTCTGGGACATATCTCGAAAATTATGAATGAAATTTGATTGTCAATTCAAACATTAATCAATCTAATATTATTTAGAATGCAGAAAATTTGCTGAAATGAGTGAAAATTCAAAAAAAACGGTGTATTTCCAGGATAAAAATCCGTACTATCTGTACAATTTGAAAAAAAATCCGTACAATCCGTACAATTTTAGGGTTACAAATAAAAAAATCCGTACAATCCGTACATTTTGGCCACCCTGTATTTTTTCGTTCCAGCTAAGACAGTCCAATGGCAAAAGGGACGCCTGTCTAGTGTCTGTATAGTGTATATCAATTCTGCTAAAGCTCGTCATACCCTCAAATCCTATTTTCGGTGGAGTATTTATCGACCTACGCCAAATCCGCCATACTACACATCCGATCTACTAACACGTGGTTTTACAGGTTCTAAATGGAATTGTGGTCGAAGCGCTTGGCCCCCTAGCATGTCCTAGCCGCGGCGCTTGGCCCCCTAGCCTGTAGTAGGTCAGAAGTTCAGTAAGGGGGATGTTGCGTATAGACGATGTAACATTACCCCTATTTTCTTATTAGAATTGGGTAGTTTGGTGGCTTACCTTACAATATGCCGGGTTATGGTTCCTTTTCGATGCAACTGTTAGAAAATCCTGATCTCGAGTCATTTTTGGTTTCCCCTGAGCTTTTTCGGGTTGACCCATCTCTGAAAAAATATCAACGGTTCAAGGTTTACATAAAATATATGAAGGCGCCAGTTTCTGGAATATAGGAGTGACTCTATGTAGTGTGTACGCTACGCTCTGTACAATAAACTTTACTTATTGATGTACAAAATCAATTTTCAATCTTCAAATTATCCTATTGGAAATTCTCAACCTTTTCTCAAGTATAAAAATATCACATTTTTTAGAATGCCCGGAGAGTAATTAACGAGTTTTTAAAGAAGGTACAAAAATTGGATAGAAGGAAATTCTCAGTTGTAGGAACCGATATCTAGATTTGGCACCCTGTACCAGGAATATCAATATTTGACAGCCTGTATCATGAATTAGACAGCCTGTATCTGGTGCAGGGTTCTCTTCTCTGCCTGATTGAGATGGGGAATAAAGTGCTGAAAGCAAGGCTGCTGAGAAAACTCCCTAAATAAAAATAAATTAAGCTAGATTTATTTAATCTATGTAATAAAGCTCTTGGCTCTTATATATATAATATTTTTGATATGTTAGCTACAGCTGGCCAAACGGCTGGATAAAATTGACTGACATTTGTTGAGGAAACCCTTGGGAAGCCTGCCTTAGACTGAAATTTTTTTAAAAAAATTTTCTTTAAAATTTGATTTTTTTCTTTCTAAATTCAATTTATTTATAATTCCACGGGCAACGCCGGGGTCTTCAGCTAGTGTAAAATAAAACCATTTTCCAATAATTCATAATATTGCCGGAACCAAAGAGATCAGCAAATAATACATGACTCTTTGCACAAAGAAAGTCTATGAAATTTTTTAACTTTCCCTCCCCCCATTTTTTTTTAAATATTGGCGGATTAGGGATTCATAGTTTATTAAAGTTCTACGACATCAGGATGCAGAGTTAAAAAATAAGAAAATTTAAATTTTAGCACATTAATCTACTCCCTTACCTACATCTAAGTAAATATGATTTAAGAACTGTTTTATGTAAAAATCTTGAATCTATTGCACAAGATTGTAATGTACAATCTAGAAATCTAAACAAATTTTGTGTGAAACAAAATATGATATACAATCAGATTCCTTCAGACCAAGAATGGAAATTACCCATTCATCATGAATTAATCAAAGCTGAAGATGATAATTTTGTTCTAAACAATTCTGTTGATAATAAGATCGCAACTTTTTATGTACCGACTAGAAACTATAGTTATATATTATACTTTATTCTTGTTTTTGTCTTATCATATTGTACCAGTTTACCCTTGTGTATGAAATGAATCTATAATAATAATAATTTCGAGTGAAGAATTTTACCTGAGGAATGAGAATAGATATTTCTTGAGATCAATGGAATAGATGGGATCCAGCTTATAATCCTGGTCCTCCTCCTCGTCCTCGAGATCCACCAGCTCTGCTCCGGAGGCCAGCAAGTCGGACAGGTTTACTCCGTTCCGCACACCTACATTTATTTGGGTAACTTAAATTCAACATACAGTGAATCTAATTTTTTTTTAATATCAAAACTTAATTCAAAATATTTAAAAACCTTTAATCTTAGTATTGATAATATGAAGGTTTTCAATCTAAAAATTTTTAAGCTACAGCAACACTTTTACCATATGAATTTTTTTATTACACTTTGAATTAGGTCTCACTCTTAAGAAGGCTAACAGATGTTTTCTCCGTTAGAAAAATAAAATGTCGGGCGGTGGCTGGTTATTTCTCAAGATATTAAATTAAGATAAGATAAAAACTGTAGGATTTTTTAAATCATGAATACATACCTCCGCTAGTGTTCAATCCACTATCTCCGTCCTGACTGAGTTCATCGTCACTTTCCTCTTCCTCCTCCTCACTCTCTTCTGCCATCTCCAGCTGGGTTCCCATCTCCAGGAGTAGCAGTTTACTGATCTTAGCTAGCAGTGGAACACTAGTATACTGAACAGGACGGGTAGCCTGGGAGGATCTAGTTCTAGGTCCACCCTCTGAGAAAACCTCGTCCCCTCGAACCGTAATCTCGTTTAGACGATCATCGTTGTTGTTTACTCCGTATTGTAGAAGTTTACCAAGAGCCATCAAGCTTACTTTTGTCTCGTAGGATCCGTAGAAAAGATGCTGTTTAGAAACCCATTCCGACATCACGAAATGCAAAGCAGAGTTGCCCGTAGGACCGGGCACACTGGAGAGAAACGTGAGAACTGCGTCTAATTGAGAATGAACAAGCTGGGCGTACACGAGGATAAGACTTTGAACTACAGATAGGGTCTCAGCCCTCTGAAGCTTGGAGAGAACAGCTTTGAGGAGTAGATCTAGATTTTCTCCAAGTCTGTCTCCCGTCTTCTGAATGAGACTTGTAACGAGACGACCTACAAAGGTTGCTGAGGATTCTGAAGCTGCTGGGTTGAGTAGGTGTCCGGCAACATTAACAATATGCTGAAGACCAGTTTTCCCGCCAGGATCAGTAAATCCGCAAATCTGGTCCGGGGACTTGGAAATATACGCTCTTAAACATTCTCCACCACTCTGCAGCACAGCGTTGTCATCAGTAGAAAGGGTAACCTCGACTGTTGCAGGGAAGGCGACCTGCATCAGATGATCAGAGAGGGGTAGCGGAGAGGACCGAACAATGGTTGCCAAGACGTCCAGAGCGTCGCTCTTAAGACCTGAGAACGGTTCCTGGGGATTAAGGATGGAGAGCAAAGCAGGGATGAGACGGGTTTGAAGGGGAACAGCGCAATCTGGGTTCTCCGACAGTATTTTAAATATATCTTGAGAAAGGGAGGTTATCACAGGGTCACTACTATATTTCAGAAATATGGCGATAGCTAACGGAGCTACTTTTGATTCTTGAGAGGCGGTAAACTTGGGATCACAGTCTAGAACAACAGCAAGGTTCTCCATGATAAGTCCTAGTATCTCTGACGACTGGCTGAAGTTGGCACACATGTTGACGAGTCCGTTTACCAGGGCAGGGAGGAGGGGGACCAGGAGAGATTTAGACGCGTCTCCAGCCTCCTGGTTCCGTAGATGATTACAGAAACCCCAAATAGCGCGCACAGCGGAGATTCGAACTGGATGAGGTTGCCCTTCCTGGAGGCCGCGTACGGTTCCTTCAAGGAAAGAGGTTATAGCAGATTGAGGAAGATGAGACGGGAACTTGGATGCAACCCACAGACAACGACCAAGAAGGAACGGATGAACAGGACTGTTTAGATCTGAGAGCACTACTCCGGTCAAAAAGTTTCCAATATCAAAGTTGACTTTGCGCGCACATATCTGGGTTTCTATAACCTCCTGCACGGACCCAAGGGCAAGCATAACAGCCTCATGAAGTTTCCACCATTCTTCTACACCGGAGGCTCGTCTTTCTCCGGCCTCGGTCACATGACGTTCTATTGTCTGAGCGAGGCTGATACAACTCTCTTCCTCAAATTCAGCACAAAGAGCTATCAGCAAATCCTGAAAATATAAACATTGAAATACAAATTTACCAAAACTTCTGTAGGTTGAATTTGATTTTCTGTTTTCAATTAAGCCGTTTAATGGTAAAGAAACAAGGTTACAGCTGTAAACTATTTTTGTAGGATACTTAGTAGAATGAAAAATCTGAATGATATTTGAGATATATGTGCGAATATTATATTTAAAAACAAAACTATTTGATTGTTTAAAAGAATAAAATTGCTATTTTTCTATTTTAATGGTTTATGAGATGAATGATGAATGACATCAATAACAGTTATGTTCTGACTCAAAGCAAAATTTTTCTTAACTCATTATACGTATTAAGACTTTACGTCAAAATGTGTAAATATCAGTAGGACGAAATATCAGCAAATAGAAATAAGAATAAACAAACGACTATACGCCAAAATCTAAAAATAATAATTAAGATAATAATGATATTTGAATACCTGAGATGATATTCTAACAGAATATGCGAAAGTATCTTCATCTTCCTCCTCTACAAAACTATCCGGGTTCTCGATCCACTTCTCACACTGCTCCTCTACAATTAAACAATATCAAGCTTAATATACAATAAATGTTGATCCAGTTCAAAAACCATTACGTTGCAGTTTATATAAGTAATCTCTTCTTCTTTGTTTGTATGTACTTAATAACTCATGAACTTTTGACTGATTTGATTTTAATTGGGAAACTCTGATATGACTATTCTGAGTTAAGTTATGGAAAGTTTCCAGGCAATGCTTGGTTCTCAAGCTTGTTATAAATAAAGATCGAATATCGCAGATAGATGGACTGAAGTGATGTAACTTAAAATTCATACTTAAAAATAAGCTTCTGAAATCTGAACAATTTTAACTATACTATGCCTAAATATCTATGGATTACGTTTATTGTTGTTCTTTTTTGTATAGCAATAGAATCAAATATAAATATTAATAACAAAAACTGTTCCAAACCAGAGACTAAAACTATTTAAAGTGAGTTATGAAAAGAATTAAATTTCAGATTCAGGAGCTTGATCAGAAATCTATCCAACTCGTTCTTTTTCCTTTTCATTATTGCAGTAGTCGCTAGAATAAGTGAACCTAGAACTTAAACTTAAAAATTGAAATCTGAATACAACATGTTTACCGGGATAAATTTTATTTTGCGGTTTGATGTTGACATCTAGGGTTCTTTATCTTCCTAAATTCTAGAGTACAATAGGGGCAAAGCACATTTTGGAAATGCCGACTTAAAAAAATTATTTTTGCAGATTGATATCTAGGTTTGCAATTAAGATATAAATTTAACAGGGTTTGCATAAAGTTAAGTCAGTATATAAAAGTAGTATTTTTATAAAAAGTTCGACCTAAGTCTTTGTACACACTACACACAGGAGCGCATGGGGGGGGCGATACCCCAGTGCACCCACTAGGCGCCTCCTAGAGCCATAAAACTTGTATTCAGATTTTTTCTTTTATGAATTGACAATGTCACAATTTGTCCATATATGATAATTTCTCAAATTCTTTCCTGTTAGGGAGGGAACTCCCAGACGCCATGAGCCTCTGCTATGCAGACATCGAGACTCCCAGATTCGCTAGGCAGACCGAGCCTCCACTATGCAGAAAAAGCCTACACTATGCAGACCGTGCCTCCGCTATGCAGTAAACGAGCCTCCACCATAAAGGACAGCTTTTTTTAAATCTTGGTTTTTATGAGTCTTCATTACTCATAAAAACCAAGATTTAAAATTTTTTTTTTTGACGTAGTGGCATAAGAATTTTACTAAAGATTAGAGTTGTTCATTGATTCTCATGATTAGAAACATATATGGACTCATAAAGTGGTTTTTAAGATTCATATTAAAACTTCAAACATTTCTTACGCAGAAAGAAAGATATTTGGAGAAATATTTCTGGAGAAAACTTTGTTTGTTTTTTGTAATCTTTGATTTAAACAATACCTTTTTTGAAAAATGTTAAGATTTACATAATAAATACAAATTTTTTAGATTTAGTTTGAACTTCAAAAAAGGGTATCGCTAAAATCAAAGATTATAAAAGATGAAATGAAATTCAATTCAAATTTTTTTTCTAAATATTTTCCTTTTCGTGTAAAAAATGTTTAAAGTTTTAGATACCACTTTATTAGTCATAATTAGGCACTATTTATGATAATCTATATATTAATTTGGCTTGTCTGTCGGTTTGTATCCAATATACGTCAAAACGGCTGAACCGATCGGGCCCAAATTTTTTGTGGGACATCTAGGGACCCCAGGGAAGGTTTATGAATGATTGAAATTTTAAATATTTGTCTCCATCAAAATTCGATCTACATTAAATTTTTAAAAATTTTGAAAATCCGATTTTTTTTGTGAAAATCCGCGAATTATTTTTGTTCTGTTTTACGATGTACACAAAGAGAACATGATCACAATTAAATTAGAAGGCTAGTAAATAAATACTTCTCATCTTTGAGAAGCCTCTCATGCCACTATGTCTAAAAATTTCAAAAAAATCGTTTACTTAAACTTAAAACACAAGTTTAAAAAAACTCCTGTATTACACAGGTACATTTAAATGTGTTGCACGTGCTCTTTTAGGCAAAGCGGAGGCTTGGTCTGCCTAGCAACTCTGGGAGGCTCGTGTCTGCATAGCGGAGGCTCACGGCGTCCGGGGGTTCCCTCCCTCTTACTGTACGTCTTATTTACATTATTTTTTTTCGCGGGGTTTCTTTTAAAATCCATTATAGTCTCTCAGAGCAAGATGTTGATATGATTTATGAAATATGATATACTCAAAAAAATAAAATATATTTTTTGCTCTTTTACTTCTAGATTTTATAACATGGTATGATTGGAAATTATGGTCAGATGACTAATAGTTAGGGGGGGGGGGGGGTGCAAACACACAAAAAAATTCGCCAAAACTCAAAAGTTCCCCCCCCCCCATAGGATAAACCTACGCCTCTCACTACACATTACAATTTAATATTCTTAATTCATTTAACATGTTCTCGATATGTACAATTGTACATTGCACACTCTACAACATCTAAATACTTCATTAACCTATTTTTTATTATCTGTATGTACAAAATAATCTGAACTCATACAGAGTTCATATAAGGGCAAATTTCTCATTTTGTAATCTATATATAAATTTGTCTGTTTGTTTGTATTTAATAAACGTAATTTGTCTGTTTGTTTTTATTCAATAAAAAATTAAAAAATTTGCATTAAAAAGTTTTTTTTATTTTTGTAAAAATTTTAAAATCTTGAAAATCAGCAATTTTTTTTTATAAAATCCGCAAAATTTGTTTTTCTTTGTTTTTCAATGTTACAATGAAAACATGTTCACAATTGAAATGGAAGATAGGCGCGAAGCTCCCAAAAAGCCGAGTAAGATAAAATTAGAATTGAGATTTTTCATTCAAGGAAGTAGATATCATGAAAATAATAAATTTTAAAAATATCCCGCACCAAAAAAATTACGAGTTAGTACAGACCGAAAAAGTCAGTACAGATCGAAATCCTAAATCCTTTCAAGGATTTATAATTTTGGATTTCGATGACATAAATTTAAGAAAACTCGTATGTTCATGTTTTGTACTATATGAAAGGGAGCAATTATTGAACGTTTAGTTGATTTGACCGTTAGTATAAAGCTTTACTTAGCTGGGGTTACCAAGTGAGGGGCAAG